CCTTTTTAATTCTTAATGTGCTTTGGGGCGTGACATTTTTTTTGAACATCGTGAAAGTATTAATATTTTTGCATTTTATGTGTAAAAACTCATCCATTTTTGGGCCAGGGAATTTTTTTTTTAAAAAGTCATATCTCTAATATATATATATATATATATATATATATATATATATATATATATATATATATATATATATATATATATATATATATACACAGTGTAAAATGAAAAAATTTTTTGTTAAGTGATTTTCTACTAATTTATATATATATATATATATATATATATATATATATATAAATATATATATATATATATATATATATATATATATTATATATATATATATATATATATATATATATATATATATATATATATATATTAATTAGTATATGTGTGTATATATATATATATAAATATATATATATATATATATATATATATTATATATATATATATATATATGTATATATATTTATATATAAATATATATATATATATATATATATATATATATATATATATATATATATATATATATATATATATATATATATATATATATATATATATATATATATATATATAAATTTTTTCATTTTACACTGTGTTTCATCAACAAATACTCATCAGAAATAAATAATCAAATTAATAAAACTTCAATTTATACCAAAAAATTAAATTACAGGAAGTCGCAAATTTTGGGTGACCTGTCAAGATCAGGATCAGCCAATGCCATAGTAACACACTTTGGGGAAAGATAATAAGTATGGGTTTGAAGGTTTTTTAATAAAGCACTACTAACATAATCCCAATCCTTTTGGATTATTTCAGCAGCTTTTTATGCCTCAAGGTCATTTACTGCTGCATGTTCAGCTTTGCTGGATTTATGAAATGAAGGAGCAAAGTATAGGGCAACAATAAAGGTAGCCTTAGAGACTAAAGTCTTCTAATCATCATTCAGGAAGTTAATAATAGGAAACGTAATATCCAGAACCCCTAAGTAAATGCTGTCACACATAAATCTGGCATTATGGTTAGTATCTGGTTGGTACAAACTAAACTTTTCAAGCTTGGGTGAATTGATATTCGTATAGAATGCAAGGTATTTTACCAAGTGAATTTAATCATTCCTAGGAAAAACATTATGCTCAAGCGAATTAGCAATGAATTTCTTAGACTTAAAATACAAACTGTGAAGATCACTTCCAACAACTAGCTCACTTTCAGGAAACTTCTTGAGTTTTTTTTCAGCTCCTGCTTTACTAACAATAGGGTAATACTATTCATCTAAGCGTGCCTTAAATCTTTATACATCTGTTTAGATGGTCCCACAGTTTGCTCTTTAAAAACAGCTTTGATGCCCTATTTTGTATGGATTTCTGCAATATGGTGCTGACACAAGAGCCAGAGAACTGATTGTCATAAAACTCTGACTAAAGTTACAATTGCTCCTGATTTTTTCCTGTGTTTATAACTGTCATGTCAGTACACACAGCAATGATATTCTCATATAATTCAAAGTATTCTACCAGATTCTATCATTAGTTTTTCCATTGTCCACAGGAACAACTCCAAGAAGTAAATCATTGTTTAACAAAAACTCAGGACTTGTAACTGATACTGCTAGTCTATCAATAAGAACTCTTTTCCTCGATTCTTCTTCTATGTGCTTTACAATTTTTCCATCAAAGTGTAGCACTAATGGTTTGTTCTTTATTGTTTCCATATACTCATTACAGAATTTACAGCCTAAACAGATTTTTATCAAATTTAATAGCTTTATCAATCAGCAATATAAAACAGATTTATATATTATTACAATCTAAACGCTAAAATGTTAAAACAGTATAGTTTGTTACCTTCATAATGGATTTGTTTGTATCTGCCTATTCTAATTGTCTTTCTGCTTATTCTTAACTCTGTGATATCTGCTTCAAGATAATTTATAATGCTAGAGATAAACAGAGTTTGATCGTTTATACTGATACCAGCTCTCATACAAGTTGGTGTGGTTGCTGCAATCAAACCCTCCCTAGTGATCTCCTTCTTTACTGTTGAGCGACCATATCTGCGTCTTGATTTAGGTCTATCAGGCTTATCAGCCAAAGTTGGTTCATTTTTTAAGTCAGGGTGATAATCTTCTCTATCAGGGTACAGCTGGGCAGGACCTATCAAAGAAGTTTTTTAAAATAAAGAAATCAAAAATTTTTATCTCTTGCATGACATGATATTAAAAAGGATGGGGGAGAGAGTGAAATGACTAGGAAATAATTAAAAGATACTAAAAAACATTATACCTTATACTGATTTTCTTTTACATTTTTTAAAAGGTGGTTCATCTACTTCACTTATATAGTCTTAATTTTTATTGTCTGTTCTCACTGCATTAGGAACCAACCAATCTGTTTCTTATTATCTGATTATTAGAAACCAACCAATCTGTTTCAGCTTTCTTCCTTAGCTTTTCGTGTCTAGTGTATCTTTCAATTCTTCTCTCGATCTAAATAAATAAAAACTTTTGAAATTTAGTATATAAAAATGTTTAAATATTTGACAAATCTTAATCAGTATTTGTTTCATTAAATGTTTATTACCCTGGCCTCTAACTCGTCATCAATGCAAGCACTGATAAATATTTTTCTGTCTTGTTGTTGATCTTAAAGAAAGTCTAGGTCTTCTTTTATTGTAGCACTGTCTCTTGGCATAGAAGTATCCTGACACATAGTGTACTCAAACTGTTGAGAACTGATATCAAACAGGTTATCTGTCATTATCAGGAACTTTTCTTGTTGCTTTTGAGATGCATTTGGTTTCATTTTAAGTATTTTTTCATTACAAACACCTTTATATTGCTTGTAAATTTCTAGAAACTTGTTTAGTATGCTTACTTCTGAAAGAATATAATTCTGGAAACCACAAGAGGCCTAAATATTTACAATACTCTGGAGCAAACAGTATTCTTCAGTCACAGCGTTGCAAGGTCCATCAGTTCCTTTGCACTTCATATCTCCAGCAGATGTCTTTTGTGTACAAGCAAAGTTAGTCTTGATTGGTCTGAATCTTTTAACCCTGGGGGAAATAACATACAGAGAATATCTAATAACATAACCATTAGTAGGCAATTGCCTGCTAGGTAGAGAGCTCAGTTGAGTTTTAAGAAGATAGAAAGGTCTTCTTGGGTTGTAATTGATTGACTTTACAGCTCCTTTTTGAGCTTTAGCTTTTCCCATTTTTCTGAAATATTAAAATGTTTGAACAAAGAATTGATTTAAACATTTATAAAGTTAAATATAAAAATTAATAACTGCTTTTAAGCATATTGAGTAATAATATAATAAGAACTTAATGGCAGACAGTAGTAATGGTGGGGTGGTGAGGTCCTAGGACTTAGAGTAAAGATAAAGGGGCAGATGTGTTGGTGGCTATCATCAATATGATTATGAATAAATAATATGAATAGAAACAAACAAAAGTATATATATATATATATATATATATATATATATATATATATATATATATATATATATATATATATATATATATATATACATATATATATGTATATATATATATATATATATATAAATATATATATGTATATATATATATATATATATATATATATATACATATATATATTTATATATATATATATATATATATATATATATATATATATATATATATATATATATATATATATATATATATACATATATATATATGTATATATATAGATGTTATATATGTTGTTATATATATATGTTATATATAGATGTTATATATAGATGTTTTGTGAATACCATTATTTAAGAATCGAACTATTGTAAAATATAAATCAAGTTTTGTGCTTAGCAAGTTTTGTGAATATGAAAATTATTAAAATTAGAACTTACGCCAAATTTACTCTTACAAATGTTTTGTGAACCTGCATCTTGGTTTGCATATTGCTACCATTTAAAAAAAAAAATCATATTTGAAGCAGTTTTTTTCAATTGGTAAAAACTTTTTAAGTCTAGATCTTAGGGATTTCAGTTGAGCATCATTAACATGCTACATAATAATAATAATGATATGTCTTTAAAATGTTGTATATTGTTTAATGTATATTGTTTAAGATTTTGTTTGTTAGAAATCCACAAATTTCAACAAATACATGAATTCCGATCAGGTGATAATTATAAATGATTTTATTTTTTGGGTGTCATTCTTGTTGTGTGTCATTTAAAGTTCCAGCTAGCCCCATTGAGCATGGTGGGTGGCAAAAATTATCTATGCTCATAAAATATAAATGCTGAGAAATTAATTCAATCTGACAAAAACAGAATAACACAGAATGTTAGACATACATTTACTGTTCAATGTTCGATTTACTTTTTTGTAATATCTGCTACTCAAAATTATCTTGAATTGTGGAAGAATATTGACAAGTATAAATCTGTGACTACTGATATCTTGCAGACAACTTTGTTGGAAAAATTTATGTTTTATTTTTTTTTATTTTATTGATTTCGGCTGTTAAAACATAATTAATGGATTGTGCTTAAAAAAACCAAATGAGGAGCATCCGTTGGATGATTTTTTATCATCAAACACCCGCAGATTCATAATGCTCAAAAAAAAGTTCATCTAATGTTTTTCTAATTAAATTTTTATCTGCCATGCTAACCTAAATACTAAATTTATTATCGTCAATGTAGTTTAATATTCTTAGTTAAACAATATTGTAGCCGCATAGCTATATGGTTTTTTAGTAAATGCACCAAGTTGTACCCACCCTAAAAATAGGGATAAGCCTTGTTAAATATAAAATATACTGAAAATTCAAAATGTAAACATATTTTGTTCAATAGAAAAAGTTAAAATTCAAGTAATTTTAACTTTTTCTATTGAACAAAGAAAAAGTTAAAATTACTTGAATTTTAATGGCCTACATTAGGTATACCATACATGTTTCATATACTATATGTTTTTAACTTATCATTTAGCATCGATTTATGTGGAAATTGGTGGAAATACTGAAACAGATAGATATGAAGACTATAAAGTTACATTTAGCAAGAATAAGCGAACAGCTGTTATTGTTAGTCTTGATCATCAAATATCATTTGCTGGTGAAATAACAGGATTTAGTGCTCAAATCACTGTGCTTGGAGATATTAGATTTTTGGTAGGATTGTAATGTATTAATAATATATTTTGTGTACAACTTTATGAAAATATTTATTTAGATTAAATTTTTTTATGTGATATTTTTTTTTATTAATTTAAGGCACTATTAATGTCATTTAATTTTTTTGTTGGGTTTGATTAATTACTAGTAGAACTGCAGTTTAAGATTGTCTCATTTCTTTGTAACATTGCCTTATTTGTAGAGTTTGTTTTTTAAATTAAACATGTTTCTCAAGTTTTATTTTTTTCAGTTTAGAACTTGCAGATTTTACAAAAATAAATATTTACAATATTGACAAATGTTTATCAATATTGCAAACAGTATTTAAATAGTGTTTTTTTCATTCATCATCTTATTGTTTTCATTCATTATCTTATTGTTTTTTTCATTCATTCATCTTACTACGTGAGGCCACTGCAGATATTTGTAATAATATTTTGGCAGATATTTATAATAATAGTTTGGCAGTATGATATGTACGAAGATTAAAGTTAACTCTACTACATATGAAGATTACTTAGAAAATTGAGATTGAATACACACAAATATAAATATGAAACTAGTATATATAATATAAATATAAAATAAAAATGAAATGAAGCTCATGCTTAAGTTTATAAAGTGTAAAACTTATTAACCTGTTTTATAGTTTTTTTTAAAGCTTTGCTAGTTGTTGCAAAATTGAACAAAAGAAAACCAAGTAACAGATATGAAACCAAATAATAACAACTTTCAAAAAATTTTATTTTGAAATTTAAGTTTAAAAAAAGTTATTTAAATTTGCAAAATTTTTTTGTTTTGTTTTAGATATTAGAACCATCTTGTAATTTGTTAACCAATGGGACTGCAAAGAAAATGTGCTTTCTCACTAAAAAATGTGTAGAACTATCTGATCCTTGCCCAATCTATTCTAATGTTTATTATTCACCTGATTTTAATAATATTTTTTATCCTGGTTGGAATCAATTTGGATCTGCAAATTCAAAGTTTCCAAATAATTTGACTCCTCGATTATCATCAAACATAATGTTTAAACTTGTTTACAGCTTTCAAGTCAGTGCTGCAGTCTTAGGTAGGTTTTTAATTGTTGCAGCCTTAGGTACGCTTCAACTACTTGATTTTGGCTGTGTAATTTCCATAATTATTCATAATTATTTCAGATATAAATGTAATAAAAATGTAGTGTTTCGCATATTAGAATTGGGATAAAATGTTGTGCTTCAAAGTGAAATACTATTTGTTGATTTATCTGCCATTCTGTTGGTTTCTTTTCTCATTCTGTTAGTTTTCTCTGCCAATTTTGTCTGTGTTTTTTTTAGGCCTTAAATGTTAATTAATTAAATTCATGCATTTTATATTAACTATTCATAATTAGTTTCGATTATAGTTATATGTAGAAAATGAAATGGATGCAATGTATCAATGCAATAATGATTGTTTGCATATTTTGATATGAAACTATCTTTATGACATTTTTTATTAAGATCAAATGAAAAAATTATACTTGATAGGCAAAAAATAATAGTAAAACATCTTATATTAAATTCATTTTTGCCTTTTTAAAGTTAATTTTTTAAATATCAGTCTACCTTGATTTATTATAATAGCTTATAAATAAAGCTCAAAATTTTTGTTTTTCTGAATTTCTAACTTCTCTTATTTTATGACTCATTTTCCAGGCAACCCGAATCACTTGCTTTGATTTAAGTCTTGTTTCTAACCATAGCATTTGCTCAGTTTCTTTTTGTTTTCTTTTAGATGGTTCAGATTATGCTAAAATTTCACTAAAATTTTTAAGGTGTACTTCTGCATCAGATCCTCACCTTCCTCCTCTTCTTCCTCACCTTCTTACACTTCTTACTTTGATAGGGATTTTATTTGCAAAGATCTTTTTTTGAAGAAGAAACTTCTTCAATCACATATTTTCTTAGATTGTTAAGCATCATTCAGTTGCAGAATTTTACACTTAAACTCATCTACAGACCTGTATCTTTATGGGATTCTGAGAGGGACAACACTTCATATGCCTGTGGTTCAAATTAGTATGTGGTCTGTATGTTTGTATATTATACATTTTTTTTTCTTTTTTTTTTTTCATGTTTGAGATTCTTGTCAACAAAATCATAAACAAAGTCTTACAAAATTTTTGTTCTCCAAAATTCTCTACAATCGTTTCTACACTATTTAACTCGTTCATAACTGAATCTTAATTTCCAAACTGCTGGAAAAATGTATCTGTAAATCTATTTTTCAAAAAGTGTGGAGATCTTTGTGTCCCTTCTATTGCAAATTTAACTATTGCCCTATTAGTTACTATTAATTTACTATTATTTGCATAGTCTTAGAGTTTTAATTAGAAAACTTTAAATTTGATTGATTTCAGTCTTTTTGTTTTACTTGTTACCATGATAACTGAATGGTATTTCTATAACGATGAACTGCAACGCTTATACTAAGTTCTTTACTATACGTTGTCCGAGTCCTTTACCTTGCATTATCTTGGATTATCTTTAATAACTGATTTCTAATGAAAACCATTTATACAATCCATTGTAACATTAGTTTTTGCTAAGGTTACTTCTCTTTTTGTTATTGTTATTTACATTTTTGTGATTCCATTCTCTACCAATATAAATATCTTACCTATCTTTGTATGGAATACTGTTTTCATATTTGGGCTGGTTCTTTAATGAGGTCCTCTAAAATTGAATTGTAGATATAGTTAGATCTGTTTTAACTCCCTGAGCCCTATCCCTCATAAAAGTAAAATAATAAATTCAAATTTGTTCATTTAGGTCAGAATGATTTTGCAGTGCCAACTGATAAACGATTTACAACTTCTGCAGGTCAATTTTTAGCATGGATGCCCGATTATAGTAATAATAATCCTGGAGATATTGCTTATAGTTCAATTGATTCAACAAGCCAGTTCCAATCAATTCACTATAAGGAGGTATTTTCTATTTTCGAGGACCAAATGTTTTTGGATTACCAATCTTCAGTTGAGATATCTGACACTGAGCATATGGTTAGCTTATATTTGGAAATTCCATCCATTTATTTTATAGAACACACAGGTTTTATTTATTTATTTGTTTTAGTAATAGATGTTATATAGAGCACAATTGTTTTTAAAAACAGCACAATATTTATCCATCTTGTTAACTTTTTTTTTATATTTATAAGTATATTTTATTATTACAACTATATATTATTAAAATAGCTATATATTATTATTAAATATACTTTCTTTTTATATCTTATCTTATGGTATACTTTTAGTTATTGTGTAATAATTAAATTTGATATTTTCATTGAATTTTTTATATAAATATTTGGTTAATAATAAATAAGCAACCAAAAACCAAAAAGTAGTAATTTATTGTATGGGACCATAACTGTTTTGTACAATAAATTGCTATTTTTTAAAGGATATATGACAAATACTTCTGGTGTTTACATTAGCAATAAGTTTTTTTGAAGTCAATTAATAAAGACAAAGAATCCACAACTAGTTTAGTTTTAGTTAGAGACAAAGTACCCACAGGTAGTTGTTTATTTGCAATCATAACCTCTCTGCACAAAAAATATTTAAAGTTAGACATTTTCAACTATTGCCCTATATCTCCTACATCTATTTTATGGAAGATACTTAAAAAAATAGTAACAGATTGCATAGTATGGTGGAGTGAAAACAACTTTTTTTAGAAATTCATACTTTCTCCCTGATTTCTATAATAATTATAGGAAAACTAAAAAAATGAGACCAAGATGAACAAAATTGGATAAGAACTACCCCCAGCACCAATTTTTGACCATTATTACTTATTATTGAAAGCGCAAACTTGAAATTTTTTTAAATATTTTTTTTGAAGAAGCTTTGAAGTTATAACACATTAGGTTTGATTGTATTATCCATTAGTATTATGACCAAAATACTCACTTTTGCATTGAAAAGGTTAATCTAATACTTTTAACTCATTTAAATGATATTTTTTGAAATAAAAAAGTTAATATTTAGCATATAATAAAATCCACTACTTTCCCCGAACCATATTTTTAAAGGTTAGTATTCAGTTAATAAATAATAATATTTATTATAATATATAATAATATTTATTATAATATGTAATAATATAATAATATATTATAATATAATAATACTATTATAATATATAATAATATTTATTATAATATTATTATAATACTTTTTTTTTTTTAATTATTCAATACCCCAAGGCCCGAGGGGGCCACTACAGTCTAAAAGGGCTACTCATTTTTATTTTTATTTTTTTTAATTTTTAAAAAAAAAAATTTTTTTTAAAATTTTTTGTTGTAAATTGTGGTACAACCTCTCTCAACTCTTTTACTCCGAAACACGAACCTTGACAAGCAAGACCGCTGCGCGGAGAAATTAAATTGAGCGCGGTACTTCCAGGGACGTGGTGGGAGTCGAACTCTGAACCTCTCGCTTACAAAGCAAGCGCTCTTACCACTACACCACTACCGCATTAATACCGCACTTCCTATCATTTAGTCAGTAATAATAATTATCACCATTTATATATTTTTAGTTTTGTTTTAAATTTCAGTAAATAAAATGTTAGGATCTAAAACAGATCATTCATTCTTTGGGTATTCAAAGCCACTCTCTGATGTGCAACTGCCAACAGGGCTAGATGTTATTAGATGCTATTACATTTTCTTTTAAATACACCATATGTGTATTTAAAAGAAAATGTAAGCAAGCTATATTACATATTCTTTGTCAAATAATAATACAATTAGATGTAAACAAATATATATATATGTATATATATGTGTATATATACATATATATATATATATATATATATATATATATATATATATATATATATATACATATATATATATATAATATATATATATATATGTATATATATATATATATATATATATATATATATATATATATATATATATATATATATATATATATATATATATATATATATATATAATATATATATAATATATATATATATATATATACATATATATATATATATATATATATATATATATATATATATATATATATATATATATATATATATACAATATATATATATATAAAATATATATATATATACACGTCCCTGGTAGTACCGCGCTCAACTCGTTTCTCGGCGCAGCGGCCGGAGTTATAGAGTTTAGAGAGGGTTATAGCCACAAATAAGTAGCCTCCTTGTCTGTAGTGGCCTTCTCGGCATTGAGAAGGTGAATTAATATATATATATATATATATATATATATATATATATATATATATATATATATATATATATATATATATATATATATATATATATATATATATATATATATATATATATATATATATATATATATATATATATATATATATATATATATATATATATATGTATATATATATATATATATATATATATATATATATATATATTTTATATATATTTACAGAAACCTGCTGGAAAAACCAACAAAAAGAATGAAGCAAGTTCAACCGCAATAGATGTCTTAAGAATTTGGGGAAAATGTAACATACCAACTGTGTCATCGATTCCAACTTTGATAAAGAGAGTTTTTAACCTTTATGAGCAGAACATAAAACAGCAATAAACTCCAACAAACAGGAAATAAAGAAAACAAATTTCAGCTCTACAAGGAAAAATTAGCAAAACTGTTTGATATATCTGCTTGCCAATGCAAAGATCTAAGGAAATGCTGCTGTGCCAAAGTTAATATGGTACCAGCTATGAAGCACCCTTTCATGGAAGATCAAAGAAGTGAATGTCAAATGGCTATAGGTTCAATAGACAAAAAAATTACAGCAAAACTGCAGAATATCCAAAGCAAACAGAGCTTAAACCTTAATTATGCAGTGTCATTAGATTCTTTCATTTCTACCAAACCTATTACTTCAAAACGGCCTGCTATCGTTAAAAACACCCAGTCATTAAGACCTTCATCTTCAAAGCAGATGTGATTGTCTCTCCCTTCTCTCTCATTAACCTGTGACCACCATGGACTCTCAGACAGATCGGCTGCAGCTGTGGCATCAGCTGTACTTAAGGATATTGGAGTTATTTCATATGATAACAAAACACAAGTTATTGACTGCAGCAAGATCAGGCGTGAGCGCATAAAAACAATGGATAACCAAAAAGTTTGTAAAATCCAAGTAAAGGCGTTGTACTTTGATGGCAAAAAAGACCGAACACTCAAATTTGACAATAATAAGAGAACCATAGTGATGGAGGAGCATATATCCTTGATTCAGGAACCTGGCGAAGGTTATTTGGGACCAGGGTCACCAAAAAAACCCAACCCAAAAAAAAAAAAAAAACCCACCTTAAAAAAACACAATAAAACCCCAAAAAACCTAAAATATATTTGGGTTTTTTTAAAAATGTCTTATTTTACAACTGATAACTCTGATTTTAATATTTATAAATGCTTTATTATCAGCAAGTGCAACTTTTATGCTGTAATTACTCTTGTAAACACTGTATTTATATACAAATTGGTAGTTAGAATATATCCAAAACCAATCAATCTGTTTTTGTACCAAGTTGGTTATTTATTATTTTTTTTAAACATATAGCAAGTTATTATAAATATTACTGAAATATGTATTAAAATATTAAATTAGTTAAATACTTATAAAGGAAATAAAAATTATTCTATTAACTAAATTTCAAAGTACAAGACATTACTAGTTATTTAGTATCTTTATTCTCCTCTTTAATGTCTATATTTCCAAACAAGCGTTCTATAGATATCATTTTATTTTGGTATTTGATCTTTTATTTTTTAAAGCTTATGTTGTAAACTGTAAATTTCAGTACAAAGCCACAAGCAAAATACCATATATAAAAGTTGTTAAACTTTATTCACAGTCTAGAAATAGAAAGTTGTCAGGCAAAAAAAAAAAAGCTACAGTTTACAAGACTTGTCCTTATTAAGTGCATACAACTTTAAAACAAATTATGTTATGTGCAAGCAAGTTTTATTCAATGAGAGAACATGTTCAAAACTTGTATGCAGTTCACAAGGTCAAGATTTGTTGGTAAAATGATACTCATGCTCATCTGTCAATTTTACAGGTTTTGAATATTTTACATCAGCTACAAGTTTATAATATGTATCGTCAACAGGGGTCACTATAAACAGCGGGTTGAAAATGAACATCAGTACCAAGTTTGCTAAAAGGTGAAGAAACACACGCAATTGAGCTATATATTGTGTTACTTTGATTCAGTTACAAAACTGAGCTGGTAAAACATTTCCAAGTAAAAAAAAAAGAATCTGGTGGTGAAGAAACTGTAATAGTTATTAACAAATTCATCTTAGATATTTCAAGAACAATCAAAACTTAGGCACAAATCCATTTGCAAAACAAATCTCCCTATAATCTAAAAAATAAAAACATTATGAGGTGTCAATATCATCCTGAATTGGCTAATCATTACTCTCTAATCTTAAACATTTGGATAAAATTGCCAAGTTATTTTATGCAATTTTGTATAAAGAAATATTTTAAATATTGGTTACATTATTTAAGTTCTAAATATCCATGTTAGATTAGCTGAACTTCCTGTTTCTGATCATTCTTATGAAGATTGTCTATTGATGATGGAAAGCCCAAAAACTTGGCTTACCAAAGGAAGCTAATCTTACCATTTTAAATATACTAATATTAAGTAAGAAAAGATAATTACTGCATAATGTTGATCAGATCGATAACTTTTCCAGGAAGCTGGACAGTATAATGTTCTGTTAAAAAAAATGTAGTGATTAGACTAACAGTTTTCCTCTATGATGCAAAAATGTTTAAAAAGTTTTTATAGTCATCCTGATTGACAATAATTTAGAAGGTTGAAACATCATGTTGAAAACTTGTTGATTACATGTTGTAAACTTAGTTTTTGAAATGATATGTTAAGCATGTTAGTATAAAATACTAGTTTGCAACAATTATATTGTCTTACTAACTTTGAATAACTCAATTGTCATAATAATTTTTATAGTGATTTTTTTTTTGTTCAAA